AATATAATATTATATCAGCATAGCAAATAACGGACGGTCACTGACGTGCCTGCAAGAATCTCTCAATATATTGAAGATCGGCAATAAGCTTTTCCAATCAAACAAAAACTTGGTAGACGAAATAGCTGACGAATCCCAATGGCTGATGTGTACAAAACAAAACTTTTAGCACGCGATATACCTTGACAGAACCATACTATCCAGCTCATTCTTTTTAGTGAATGATCGCTTTAAGATGAGCTAGCTGAAAGCATCATTTGCGGGTCAACTAGACAATATTCTATAGCAGAAAGAAGTATTGCTTCCACTTGTTATTGAGCAGTACCACTGGAGACGGACCTTGCTTCACCTAAGCCCTTAAGAGTGATAGAACTCGTTGACGCTCTTCGCGCGAACGACGGTCTCAGTTGAGGACGTCGTATGTCAATCGGGCACCTTATCAGAGGTCCTCAAAAACATCGCTTGGAACGCATTACTTTGGATTGCCTGAAACCCGGTAGATGCTCATGTCAGAAGGTAGCTCTACTACATTATAAAACAATATAGGCCGCGTCTGGGTGTATTATCAGAGCGGAGTCTCGATATGGTTTGCTTAAGGCCGGTAATGTTGTTGAAGAGCGTAAACCAATTTCTCAATAGCGTAAAGGTCTCAATTCAGCGAAATTATTGAAGGAATGATGCGTAGGTTTATTATTTGCTCTTTTCAAAGCTTTATTTGTGTTTGTTCCTATTTCTCTCTGTACATGCATATTTTCAAAATCAAAAAGTCATCATTAATTTATGCTATTGCAAGCTCAATAAATTTTAATATTATTTTAACACTTATATCAAATATTTTTTTTCTGAAAATAGTAATATTTTAATAAGTTTATCATATGGATTAATTTTGATTCTAGTTGGTATATTATTTAAGAGCGTTTATTGCAAAAGGTGATACAAATAGAGTATATTCGCGAGATGTGATACAATTGTGTTTTAAACACTAAAAATACGAGACCTGGTAAAATTACCGAGTGTAGCCATTCTCGGTTCACCGTTACATTGAAGGTGTGTGCCATGGAGATGGAGGAACTCAAGCAGAAGAGATGTACTAACGGCAAGGAGGCTGTGCGAGGAATCAAAGATGTTGCATTAGCACAAGAGAAGTGTGCAATCTTAAATATCAATATCTGCATCGCTGTAGCATCAGTATCTGATATGACCTTGTTTAGTGACTAGTTTGGACTGGATTTTAAGACTGTGAATCTGAGCGTTAGCGGCCTAGTTCCGAGTTGCGAGGTTGTGGTATGGGTAGCTACATGATGTGGTAATGTGCTTGTAAAATATGGAGGACAAATGATCCACTCCATTTTTTGCGGCATGTGCCGGAAAGATAGACTCTTGTATCACGTCTCGCGAATATTTTCGATTTGTATCACCTATTGCAATAAACCCTATTTAAAATTGGTGCGTCTCATAATTCCATTATTATTGTTTCAAATTTTGAATAATAAATTTAATTTCAAATAATCCATAAAAACTTAGATTAACTGGTAATAATTTTTACCAACACTTTGCATGACGTTTTTTTATTATACCATGGTGTCACGCACCCAGCACTTGACGCTTGATTTCGCTGAAAAAAAACATTGAAGTGACACTAGCAAGTCCATAAATGAAAACATCCTCCCACCCTACCAGGGCTACTTTGAGTAGAAGTCAGGAGGACGTGGGGGGCTGTTAAAGCGTTTACAATATACTGCGTGAGGTTAGTTGAGGGGGGAAATGCATTCTTAAACGCAAACTGACCGAATGTGATCATTATGATTCAGCTTTGCGGTACCTTGCGTATGCCATGGAATGATTTCTTTCACTACACGATAAACGCATTAGGTGTGACGATCAGTCTGTTATATGAGGGCACTTTTTACCGTCTTAAAACAAAACACAAATCTCTATCATAACCGTTTGCTATGGGCATGAGGTCTGAGTGACGTTGTTAAGGAACATCTGAGCTATATATATATTAATCGATAATTCTGTCGCTGACAGCAACGCAATGAGTCATTTTGATCATAAACTTAGAGCCAAAACCTTGAAGAAAAGGCATTAAAAGTCAAACATAGGGACACCGCCGGGACCAGCAAAAATGTCAAAGCGTACGACGGAGGTTGTACACTTCGATACGCTTCACACGTGAACATGTAAGTACTTATCATTCATTCACTGCTACATAGCTTTCACCAGGTTGTACGGGATCTTACATAATTTTGTACTGAAGGTGCTCATCCTGCGGCTTAACCTCACGTTTTGGAGGAAGCTATCCGTGTTGTGATGCAGAGATCGTGAGAAAATAGTTTGCGCTTGTAAGACCCAAGATCAAGCGATATCTGAGCTTAAAATATTTCATGCTCCCCAAAACTTTTAATCAGCACAGACACAAGTAGCGATATTCTTGAAAAATCAGAATTGGGTGCAACAAAAGCGCGTTCGCCACCAAAATGAACCGGTCAGGCTTGCGATTTTTTATGGTATACATAGCATAAAATATCTGCATTTTCGTTCTTTTAGAAGAATTGGTGACGATGTCGCCAGAAGCGACAGATAATAACTGTTTACTTCTTTCGACGTCGCTCGTCGTAATCAATTGCACAGCACACCTACAACTGCCAGATTTTTCCACGACATCACAAAGCGCAAAACGGTGACGTTGAAAGTAAAAAACTTTGGGCTGCGAGTACAACATCCCTTACAAAAAAAATTCATTACGGGCTTGAATTTCCCTGACGTCGACTTTTATGAGTCAAAAACGGGCTAAGCGCGTTTACTGGGACTCGACGCGTCTTATCTAAGAGTTTTGTTAGACGTCGCTACGCGAGAGCTTGGATCTTCGTACCTTTTAGTTCAGAAAAGAAGAGTGCAGACGCTTAAAACTGTCTTAGATGTAATGTCTGCAAAAAATCACTGCGCTTCTCGACATCCAAATGATCTCTCACCAAAGTATAGCTAACATCCGTCATCCCTCGCAAGCTTGTAACGCTTTCACCTCCCGTATCACAACTGGTCCTCATGGCACAAAGTCACAATCCAAATTTAGTTCGACGCATCTGCGAAAGAGGCTGGGTAGACGCTGAAGGTCGTGGCTGCGAGCAGCACTTAATTAGTGACAATCCATTGGCATGGCAACATTTATCGACTCTGGGATAGAGTGTGCCGCCTTCACGATGATAAGTGCTCGCAGAACTTGAGCAGAATCCACCAATTCTTACCTTTTTGGCGAATTGTCATCAGTTTTGAGCGATCGCAGTACACCTGAATAGGCGGTGCAAGCACCAGTGACATCCGGAAGCCTCTTCCCCAGTGGTGTTGAACATGATTGTCAATTCTTGTGCACATTGTTGAAGTATGAAAATGGTATTACATCGTGCTTTTGCTCGGTCGAAAGCTCGGTTTAATTCATTACCGTGTCAGTTTCCTTCACCCATAGAGGGCTTGCTCTACAAAATTTGACTAATCGGGCACACAGTAGAAGTCGATTGTGCTCCCATCGATGCTTGTGTTGGTACGTTTTTGATGTCACAATCATCTACGCAACATTTATTGTGTAGCTTAGAGTTTTAAATGGAAGTAGTTTGGGTAAACTGATGGCGCTTTGTCAAAGCGCGCGGCTTCACCCTTACTTAGCCCAAGGTCAGCTGTAACATCGCAATGAGTCTGTCGTGCAAATTGCACAGACGATCCTACGACTCGGTTATAGCTAAGGGGTGCCCGATTTAAGCGTCGGCAAATGCTTGACTTTGCATTTAATAAAGTACGATGCGGACTTCAAGGCAAGACCTATCGCCTCTGTTTCCTGCTGTTTTACAGCCTCGTTTGTAACTATAAAACAGGTTTTATAGTAACCGACCAAGTCAAAATCGCAAAAAGATCGGCCCCCACTCACTAGAGGAAAGTGCGCTGCGACTGGCAGTCTCACCATTAGAGGATGAAATTCTGAGTCGTAAGCAACAGTGGTTTCAGGTCTTTTGGCTATAGAGGATGGCTGAAACACTACCCCATCACCAATCGAGCGATACACATCAGACTGATTGGATCGTGATCTTTACTTCACTTGACTTTGACCCCGACATGTTGCTTCTGAACTTGATGCCACTCAGCTATACCCGACGCATGACGCACAAAGTCATTGAGAAATTCCGTTATCTCGCTTTTCTTTATGGCCGGTCGAGTATGCTCCGGGGTTGAGCACCGTTGAGTGCTAACGACTAATGAATTGGGAGCGGTGTGGCTCATATTTTGATAGTAGCGTCCTTTTGTGTGAGTGTGGATATTGATATCATCCAAGACAGTGAAGGAGTTGTGTGCAGTGACGCTAATACATTTCCATCAACACTTCGACACCTATTTTGCAACACTATAGGGATCAGGCTTACGACCGACACTTGAAGGGATGACGTGCGACACACGTGTCCAATTAAAGCAAACGAAGAATGCGCAGTTAATAATAACAATATGATGATGACTCCGAAGAATCGAGAAATCGATATATTGTCAGTTTCTCATGTTACAAAGTGATTTCTGTAGCGTGCTACTTGAGATCAAACAGCGGGATGCTCGAAAACCTCTTACATTCCATCTTCATTTTCTCCAAAGCGATGGTTGTGGGGGATGCATATATGTAGATCAGATTTGCAAGAGGGAGTAAGGCACGAAATGATGCTTTAGATAGCAAGGCCTAAATCATTTACTGTCGAGTGCTTAACATGGCGGATCAGATATTTCTATGTCAATGATCTTCAAGTAATGCTCTCAGACCTGTGTCGAAGGTTCGCGGAACTCGGGTGGGGGCTCTTAAGATGAATGCGTATACCTTAGATCAGGAAGAGGAGATCGATGAGTTTATCTGAGAGCTCAAGCTGGGGTAGATGGATCTAACACGCTCGCCAATTAGTGATGATTACTACAATGAATACGGATCGAATATGATCTCGCTTACAAAATATATGAGATCGGAAGCCAACAATTAAGTTTTTTTGGCCTCTCGTTGAGAGTTTGTATAGCGGCCGAACATCGCATTCGCGGTGCACAAGGCAGCACGACTGCCTCATGGCTCCGGTGGAAAGTCTAAACTTGTAAAGAGGTTAACGATATCTCAGAGTGAAGCAATGGTATGTGGCTTGAGATGTGCACAAGGTCAAAGTTGATACGATTATACTGGGCGCATGAAGGACAGAAAGCCACTGTGTCGCTACTCTATGGATAGTTAAGTACGTTTAAGCGCGTAAATCGATCAGCAAGCTACATGAAATCAAAGATATGCGGATGGAAGAGGCTTTGGACCCTTCTCTTTAGATGAATGTGAAGATCAAGCCGCTATTTTTTGGATTGGGGCATTGTTTCGATCTGGACCTCAAAATTTGTGCAATTTTCTGCGTGATGTCCTCCTATGCCGTTCAAGCTCATGCTCCCAAACATTCGGAGTGGTGAACCAACAAAAGCTCGCCGAGTTGCGACAACTTTTGGGGTTGTACAAATTGCACAATCACGTGATGCGGTTGTGAGGAGGAGTGCTGAAGATGAACATATACAATTTTTGTTCGTATTGAATGTCACATGTAACGGGGTTACATGAGAGTGACCCGTCACTCTCCCAAGGGAGCTGTGGTGTG